CACACAGGTGCAAAGCCAGTGGACACCCTGGCTGTCTGGGGTGACCCCGCCCCTCTGTGGGGTGAGTCCCTTACCACCAAGAGGTCCTTCCACAGGAAGTCTTCTTGCTGGTGCAGATCAGGTTTCTGGGGCCTCTTTGGATCCTAAACCTTGTAGAGCCACCCGGACTGGGCAGCAGTTACCTGTGCAGGGGAGAGAGGAGAACGCACTTCCACCACCCCTCCACTGCAAACATGGGAGACCCCAACTGAGAGTCCCCCGCAGGCTGAATCTCGAAGTAACAACCCTTCCCCCCCCCCGGGGACACCACCGTCCCACCTGACAGCCTTCTCAGCTTGGGCCCCAGGATCCGCCATGGACACCTCCTGCCCCGCTCTGCTGAGGGACGCGGGAGCCACTGGGGACACAGAGGGCTTGGGGGACCGCAGTCAGTCCCGCCCCGGGAAGTCCCCATCCAGGATGCGATTCTGGCCTCGGGATTCTGCTCCCTCTCCCGGGGCTCTCCCAGGAAGGGAGACGAGTGGTGCACAAATGAAAATGCAACAACAGAAATCAAATGAACAGAAATCAAAACGCAAAAATGAACAAACTCACTCTGCTCCCGTTACCAACAGAAAACATGAACTGTATCCACTACACCACACCAACAACGGAGACTGTTCTATGGAAGAAAATGTTAAATGAGAAAACACAAAATGAACATGAATGGTGGCAGGAAACAAAATAAAATAGAAAAAGGACAAAGTAATCAAAATGGAAAATGAAAAAACAAATTTGACCGAACAGGAGCCGCAGGATCCGATTCTTCCTCCGGATTCCTCTCCCTCTCCAGGGCTCCCCCAGGAAGGGTCAGCAGGGCTGACCTCTGGGAGACCCCGAGCCAGCAGCTGACACAGATCAGCTCTCACGGCTCAGACAACTTGAGCACAAAAGAAGATGAAACAAACAGAAATCTAATGAACAGAACTCAAAACATAAAATGGACAAAGTCAGCTCACATCACCAACAGAAAACAGGAAATAAATGAACTCAACTGGACTCACAATTGAGATTGACCCTATCGAAACAGCTAAAAGTGAGAAAACACAAAAAAGGAATAAATCATAAGGAAAAAAATTCATAAACCTTCACTGTAATAACAATCCAAGCAGACGACTCACAGTCTTATTTAAAAAAAAAAAAGGAAATAAAAATAAGAAAAAAACTCAAAGTGAACAAAGGGAAACCCAATAATGGGAGAAAATATAAAGAACAACCACAAGCAAGAGAAAAGCCAAGGAAAAAAGTGAAGAAAAAATCCAAACAGAAATGAAATATCCAAGGAAATCAGTAAGAAAGGGAAAAAGAATACGAATACTGGAGGAAATCAAAATAAATAAAATAGAAAAAAGAACAAAATAATCAAAACACAAAAAGAAAAAACAAATTGGACCAAAAAAAAGCAGCTTGAAGAACAAAAACAAAACAAGAAAACAAACAGGCAGCTGTTCCCAGCCCCAGGTCCCCGGGACAGCGCTTCCTGGGCAAATGACAGAACCCAGGCCCAGCCAAGGCTTTGTGCAGGCAGCAGGCATGACATCACAATGGCGCCTTCTGATGTCAGAGCAGGAAACCGCAGCAGGTGCTGCCCTCTGCTGGTTTGCACAGGAACCTGTCCACTTTAAAAAAAAAAGAAAAGAGAAATTCTTCCTTAGGTTGAAGATAGAGATATTAGTGTTTTGAGAAATTAAACCCTGGAGGATATTTCGAAACCTTTTCTTTTCTAGTCTTAGCATCTTCCATAATTTTGCCTTTTGCAGACTCAGTGTATCCACTCCTTTCTCTTCACCCCCTGAATGATCGCCTAAAACCATGGTGCAGCGTCACTGGCATCGCGACGCTATATCAAATGTTCTGTCACTCAAGTCAGCGGTGCTGTGACAGAGCTGTAAAGCCACAGCTCACGGGTCTGCGTCCCGTACGAGTGTCTGTTCAGGTCCCAGCTGCTCCAATTTTTTTTAAAGGGATTTATTTATTTATTCGAAGGCAGAGAGAGAAGGACAGAGAGAGGGAGACAGAGAAGGTCCCCGTGTTAGCACCACAAACTCTGCACAGCAGGAGCCCCAGCAAACGTGACTGACCTGGGCCATCCCACAGGCTACCAGTGTGCAACCTGGTAGGGAGTCCTTTTCCTACAGAGGCTACAGGGGGGCCCCTGAATTTCCTGGTGCCACGGATCTCAGAAGCTCCCCCCAGCACAGCCTCTGTCTGCCCTGAGGACTCCCCTATGGGCTCGTCCACAGCTGGGAGCTTCACAGCCATAACCTCACTCACTCTGGCCCCAGCCTGGGAGGCAGGATGACCACCACCATTTCCCAGCGTGGGGGGTGGGTCAGGTCCATACGGGATCAATATGGGACACCCAGGGAGGCAGCAGTCCCAGCCTGGGTTGGAGCCCATAGGCCAGGAAAGGGAAGACGGGACGAGCAACCATTGGGGGTTCCCTGTGGGAGGGCAGAGGACAGGACACAGTGAGTGTCAGGTGCCTCCGGCCTGGCTGCTCCTGGGTCCTCCTGAGGACAAAGAAGTGGAGAGGGAGCCCCAAATTCAGCTCAGGGCCTCCCCCAGGACAGGGACAGAGAGGCACAGAGCAGGGGCCAAGAAGGTCAGCTCAGCAGTGCCTGCTCCCTCCTGGGCCTGCACTCAGCACTGCCCAACAGCACCTCTCCAGGGACCCAGCAGGGGGCGCTCACCCCATGCAGCCATTTCAAAGGGCAACCCGGGGCCTGGTGCCCTGCCTCCCTGAGCCCTGGGCCCTGCATTCGGCCTGCCCCTGCCCTTGGGCCTGACATCAGGGCTGGACATGGCCTGGAGACCTGGTGCCAGATGTGAGGACAGAACCCTGACCCAGGGCCCCACGTCCCTCGCCCGAGTCCCTTTACCACTGGAAGGCCCCACTCTGACCTTGATGGCCAGTGAGCGTCTGCCACCCTCCTGACAGGGACAGCCCCAGGGCTCCAATCTCCCCCAACAACAGACACCATGCGGTGTCCTCCCTTACACACGCCCACTCTGAAGTTCTAACTCGCTGGGTGCAAAGGACCAGGGGCAGAGGTGGCAGCAGATCCCTCCCTGGTGGCCTGGTCAGTGCCCAGGGCTGTGACCGCTGTTGGCCCTGTTCTTCCCCTGCTCCACCCTCCTGGTGGGCGCTCACACTGGGCAGATGTGGCTCTGCCTCTTGGGATGAGGTCACTGCCGAGGGCAGGCGAGTCCTGGCTTCTGCGGTCACCCTGTGGTAGGTCAGCTGCTGAGCGTCTGTCCCCGCAGGCTGTCACAGGATGGTGACCCTGATGGCAGGTGATGGTGTCCCTGGAGGTGCACCTGCTGTGGGAGTCATCCCTGACTCAGGCTTGTTTTGCCAACTGCAGAGCTGTTACTGGCCATTGGCTATTGAGGGCTCAAGAGCAGTGGGGCCATGGAGGGGGCCATGCAGCCTTGCTGCCTGCCTGGGCTGAGCTCTGCCTTTGGAGTGAGCATTTTGAGCAGAGACAGGGGTGCACAGAGCTGCCCTGGGGGCTCCGTGGTGAGCAGCGGGAGGTGCCCCACCCACAACCACTGCTCCTCTGCTCCTGGAGGCTGTGCAGCACCGGGTCTGTCTGCCTTGTCCTCCTCATGGGCCAGGGCCTGGGGGGTCTGGGCCACGCCCCCACACCACATCCACAGGTCTGCCTCAGGGTTGGAGGGCCAACCCCAACCCGCCAGAGCGGTGGAGGTGCTGCCAGCGCCTCCTCACCGATGGACAGGGCTGTGTCACTGCAGGTGCCGGCATCGCGTGAGACTGCAGGATCTGACGCTGGCAGGGCCGGCTAGGGGTCCCGGCGCTTCCTGAAGGCGGTGAACACGATGGTGGGGGCCTTCTGGGAAATGGGCACCACATCCAACAAAGCAGAGAAACCCACGTGGAAGTGGCAGCTCGTGGGCTCCCTAAAGCCCTTTACGGCTCTGAGACCCAGGGTGCTGGGCTCCCCACCTCCTGGTCACAGACACCTCGGGCCCAGGCGTGCCCTGTGCTGAGCTATATCCAGCACACACGAGTAGGTCTGACAGAGCCCAACGCCGCCCTGTGGACATGAGGACCCCGGGGGGCAGGGGCCAGCGTCGGCCTGGGCTACACGCCCCCTTAGTATGCAGCAGTTCAGTGGACGTCAGTGCAAGGGGCAGCTCCCGGGTCTCTGTCCACCCAGACACGTGGGCCCTCTTGGTTCTCACGGTCCACAGCAGGGATCCACAGAGGCTCTGAGGACGCCTGACTGAGGTCCTTGTTCCCCATCCACCTGGGAGCTTCCAGAACCAACAGAAACCCCAGCCCCGCCTCACTGGCTCATGTATGCCCAGCAAGGTCCCCAGAGGATTCAGAATCCAGTCCAGTCAACGGTTCCCTGGGAGCCAAACACATGGCACAAGAGAGCGGTGTCCCTGAGGACAGAGAATTGGAGAGAGAGCCCCAAATCAGGCTCGGGGCCTCCCCGAGGGAGAGGGACAGAGAGGCAAGAAGAGGCAAGGACAAAGGAAAAGGCCAGTGGGGTTCACAGGAAGGAGCCAGCTGCCCCACAGCCCATGACCCACAGACGGCTGACAGCTCCCAGAACCTCGCCCAGGCTGCCGATGGCACCTAAGGACCCAGCACTACCCAGCAGCCAGGGGAGGTGGGAACTATTCTGGGTGCTTCCCGCGGCAGCCACCCTGCAACCAGGGGCTCCTATTGCTCACACCCCCTTGACAGAGATGGAATCAGAGGCCAAGGGGCAGGGACACCAAGGTGGGCAGCAGCGGGCAGTGGAGCCAGGACTCAGCCCAGGCCCTGGACCCGGTGTGGCTCCAAGCTGCCTCCTCCAGGCTCCCAGCACTCTGCTCCCCCGTGTGTGAGCACAGGTGCCCGAAACCAACACTAAGTCCTTCATGTCTTTCCATTCACAATTTATTGACCTAATGGATTTCTGTTAACTAATAAATCTGTTAAGTCTAGGCACAGAGGCAGTAGTGCAGGGCAATCCATGGGCAGCAACAGAGGCAACGAGGTTCTTCCCAGGCAGCAGCTGCTCCCCGGGGACGGAGCAGCCACGGGGTCCTGTCCTTGGGGCAGCGAGGACGAGGGACATTCAACACCTCTTCTGGAAGGGCGAGGATTCTGAAGATAGGATTCTCAGGTCCATCTTCCAGTGGGCGATCGTGGTGACCTGGGGGCAGGCAGAGAATCCACGGGGTCCTGTCTTGGGGCAGCTAGGACAAGGCATATTCAACACCTCTTCTGGAAGGGCAAGGATTCTGAGCTGGGCGTCTCGGAGTCCTTCTTCCTGTGGACGATGGTGATGACCTGTGGGCAGGGAGAGAAGCTCGGGGTCCTGTGCTTGGGGCAGAAAGGAAGAAGGACACTCTACTCCTGAAGACCACTGGGACAAGGATTCTGAGGCTGGAAGTCTTGGAGTCGTCTTCCTGTGGAAGATGGGGAGACCTGGGTCACCAGAGACATAGCTCTGCTGCAGCATCTGCCGGGTAGATCCTTTGGTCGCCCCAGGGCCCTCTTGGATTTGAGAGGTCAGAGGACTGGGGCAGAGACAAGCTAACAAGGGGAGAACACGGCCCTGTCACGCCATGGCCTGGTCCCTGGTTCCTGTCCTGTGACACCCCAGGGCACCCTGACTGGTGACAAGGCCACAGACCAGCAGGGAGGTGGCAGGTGCCTCATCCAAGCCAGAGGAGATGCCCACCCTGGGGCTCGGCCCCCCGAGGACAGACACGGGGAGGCAGTGCTGGCAGCACAGAGCTGTAGGGATGCCAGCGCCCCTGCTTGGCCCCAGCACAGCCCCGGCTGCTGGCCTGGTCTACAGCTCATGGCAGGGACCTCTGAGCCCGGCAGCCACAGAGGGGTCCCCTCTCTCACGTGCTTACCGCCCATAGGCACCATGCAGGACCTTGTGTGCAAGACTCATGGGCCACTGTGGCCCTCAGAGACACCATCTCCCAGGGGGGAACGCTGACGCTCCAAGGACTGAAGGGCCCGACTCGAAGGTCAGGGGCTCTCAGGAGGGTGGACCCGGACATCTGAGTCTAGGAGGAGCAGATGCGCTCCCCTCAGTCCGCACCCATGGGAAATGGGCCAGGGGCCTACAGCACAGGAGCCATGGCCTGTAGGAAGGACAGAAATGCCCAGGACACGGTCTCCCTGCACCTGGCAGCCCCACCTCCACCTGCCCAGCGTCTGCGCTCCCTTGTCCAGGTGGGAGCTGCTGCATCTCCCATGGAGACCCCGGGGCAGTCTGTCTGTCCTGAGGATGGGAAGGCGGTGAGGATGCTCTTAGGCGCTCGGCCACACTGCCTGGTCAGGGCTGGGGCAGAGGGCAAGGACGAGCAGTGCCGAGACCTCGGCTCCACGTCTCAGGAGAGGGACCCCCGGCTGCTGCAGCCTGGGGCCTGTCAGGAGCTGTCGCGGCCTCTCCCCTCCTTAGACCCTGGTACAGAGCTGCACACAGCCAGCGCCCACGCGGGATGGCTCATGCTGCTGAAGCCTCCAGAACCGGCAGGGGTGAAGCCCACAGCCCCTCTGTACTCACCCCTGACCAAGGAGGGCCATGGGCATCAGTGTGAGTCCTTCCCCCCTCCCCTATGCACCTGCTCCATTCCTGCACACCGATGCAAAGCCAATGGACACCCTGGCTGTCTGGGGTGACCCCGCCCCCCTGTGGGTGAGTCCCTTACCACCAAGAGGTCCTTCCACAGGAAGTCTTCTTGCTGGTGCAGATCAGGTTTCTGTGCTTCTTTGGATCCTAAACCTTGTAGAGCCACCTGGACTGGGCAGTAGTTACCTGTGCAGGGGAGAGAGAAGACAGCACTGCCACCGCCCCTCCCCTGCAGACATGGGAGACCACAACTAAGAGTCCCCTGCAGGCTCCATCTCGCAGTAACAACCCTTTCTCCCACCCCCATGCAGACAGCACCTGTCCCACCTGACAGACTTAGCTCGGGCCAGAAGCCGCCATGGACACCTCCTGCCACGCACTGCTCAGGGACGCGGGAGCCACTGGGGACACAGAGGGCTTGGGGGACCGCAGTCAGTCCCGCCCCGGGAAGTCCCCATCCAGGATGCGATTCTGGCCTCGGGATTCTGCTCCCTCTCCCGGGGCTCCCAGGAAGGGAGACGAGTGGTGCACAAATGAAAATGCAACAACAGAAATCAAATGAACAGAAATCACAACACAAAAATGAACAAACTCACTCTGCTCCCGTCACCAACAGAAAACATGACCTGTATCAACTACACCAGACCAACCACGGAGACTGTTCTATGGAAGAAAATGTTAAAGTGAGAAAACACAAAATGAACATGAATGGTGGCAGGAAACAAAGTAAAATAGAAAAAGTACAAAGTAATCAAAATGGAAAAAGAAAAAACAAATTTGACCAAACAGGAGCCGCAGGATGCGATTCTTCCTCTGGATTCCTCTCCCTCTCCAGGGCTCCCCCAGGAAGGGTCAGCAGGGCTGACGTCTGGGAGACCCCGAGCCAGCAGCTGACACAGATCAGCTCTCACGGCTCTGACTCCTTGAGCACAAACGAAGATGAAATAAACAGAAATGAAGTGAACAGAAATCAAAACACAAAATGGACAACGTCAGCTCACATCACCAACAGAAAACAGGAACTAAATGAACTCAACTGGACTCACAACTGAGACTAACCCTATCGAAACAGTTAAAAGTGAGAAAACAAAAATAAATGAATAATAAATCATAAAGAAAAAAATCCCAAGAATCTGAGCTGTATAATGACCAAAGCAGACAGCCTCGCAGTCTTATTTAAAAAGGGGGGGGGGGGTAAAAAAAAGAGAAAAAAACTCAAAGTGAAAAACCGGAAACCCAAAAAATGGGAGAAAATATAAAGAACAACCACAAACTAGAGGAAAGCCTAGGAAAAAATGAAGAAAAAATCCAAATGGAAATGAAACATCCAAGTAAAATCAATAAGAAAGGAAAAAGACTATGAATGCTGGAGGAAAAAAATAAACAAAATAGAAAAAAGAGCAAAATAATCAAAACGGAAAAAGAAAAAACAAATTTGACCAAAACAACAGCAGCTTGAGGATCAAAAACCAAACAAGGGAAACACAGGCAGCTGTTCCCAGCCCCAGGTCCCCGGGACAGCGTTTCCTGGGCAAATGCCAGAACCCAGACCCAGGCAAGGCTTTGTGCAGGCAGGGGGCATGAGGTCACAATGGTGCCCTCTGATGTCAGAGCAGGAAACTGCAGCAGGTGCTGCCCCACGCGGGTTTGCACAGGAACCTTTCCACTTAAAAAAAAAAAGAAAAGAGAAATTCTTTCTCAGGTTGAAGAGTGTGATTTTAGTGCTTTGAAATTAAAACCTGTAGGATATTTCAAAACCTTTTCATTTCTGTTCTTAGCATCTTTCATAATTTTGCCTTTTGCAGACTCAATGTATCCACTCCTTTCTCTTCACCCCCTGAATGATCGCCTCAAACCATGGTGCAGCGTCACTGGCATCGCGACGCTACATCAATTGTTCTGTCACTCAAGTCAGCGGTGCTGTGACGGAGCTGTAAAGCCACGGCTCACGGGCCTGCGTCCCGTACGAGTGTCTGTTCATGTCCCAGCTGCTCACTTCTTTGTTTAAAAGGATTTGCTTACTAATTCGAAGGCAAATAGATGGAGAGGACAGAGAGGGAGACAGAGAAGGTCCCATGTTAGCACCACAAACTCTGTACACAAAACCCACAGCAAACAGAACTGACCTGGCCCACCCCACAGGCCACAGTGTGCAACCTGGTGGGGAAACCTCTCCTACAGAGCCTGCAGGTGTGGTGGACTGAGAAGGCCAGGCCAACATGGCCACAGGCAACAGGCTGTGATTGGATGGTTTCGAAAACCACATGACAGTGGAGTCTGCCTGGCAACAGGCTGTGATTGGATGGCGTCAGAAACTGCCTGGCTACAGGCTGTGATTATTTAGGGCACAGACTGCCCCATGACCGGATTGGCTGCCTTGGCTATATAAGCTGTTGTAGCACCTGAAATAAACGAGTCTGCAGGCTGCCTCTCTCAGGCCTGCTCTCACCCAACACCCAGGGTCTGTGTGGTGACTCTGTGCCTATGGCCCCACAACACTCCTCCTCCCAGAAATGAATCCACTGCAACATGCAGGGGGTGGGGGGCTCCTGCAGGACCTGGTGTCCCGGATCTCGGGAGAGACCCCAGCACAGCCTGTGTCTGCCCTGAGGACTCGCCTATGGGCTCGTCCACTGCTGGGAGCTTCGCAGCCATAACCTCACTCACTCTGGCCCCGTCCAAACTGGGCAGTAGTTTGAGCACCACCATTTCCCAGCGTGGGGAAGTGGTCAGGTCCATACAAGATCAATATGGGACACCCAGGGAGGCAGGAGTCCTGGGCTGGGGTAGAGCCGAGAGGTCAGTAAAGGGAAGACGGCCACAGTAGGCACTGGGGCTTCCCTGTGTAGGAGAACAAGAGGGAACTCTGGGAGGTGCAGGTGCTCCTGGCCTGGCTGCTCCTGGGTCTCCCTGAGGACAAAGAAGGGGAGAGAGAGCCCCAAATCAGGCTCGGGGCCTCCAACAGGGGAGGGACAGAGAGGCAAGGAGAAGGGTCAGGACAAAGGAAAGGCCAGTGGGGGGCACAGGAAGGAGCCAGCTCCCCCACAGCCCAGGACCCACAGAGGCTGACAGCTCCCAGAACCCCACCCAGGCTGCCCATGGCCCCTAAGGACCCAGCACCACTCAGGAGCTCAGGAGAGTTGGGTACTATTCTGGCTGCTTCCCAGGGTGGGGGGCCACCTTTCAAGGCAGGGGCTCCTATTGCTCATGCAAGCTTGACAGAGCCTAGAAACAGAGACCCAGGGGTTGGGAAACCATGGTAGTAGGAGCCAGCACTGGAGCCGGGGCTCTCCCGGGCCCTGGGCGCGGCTCCAAGTTGTCTTCTCCAGGCTCCCAGTGCTCCGCTCCCCGTGTGTGACCACAGGTGCCCATTATAGTCACTAAGTCCTGACGATTGTCCATGCACATTTATCGACATCACATCTGTCATAAATTACAAACCAGGCAG